TATGTGGACAAGTAGACAAACTATGATGGATTTTGGGATGGGGTAGGGGTGCCTTCTGTAGATGATATGATGTGTGAAGCTAGATTGAGGTGGTTTGGACATGTGCAGAGGAGATGTATTATGCCCACTTGAGGAGTTCAAGAATAGGAGGCGGGGGGGATTTTAGACAAGGGTAGAAGTCAAAGAGCTGGATTGAGGTGATTACGCGAGGAGCCGAGGACATGACCTTAGTCCTTAGATATGGATATTTGGAGGTCGAGGATTAGAGTTGCAGGGTTGGTCTAATTAGAACCACTTTTCTTTGTGTCTAGGCCTCATAGGATCAATTATCTTGTGTGTACGCCAACGCCTCATATGATCAGTTAAATAAAGTATGGTGTGTGCTTGGGACCCCCCTCCCCCCCCTTCCCTGCCCTTGCCTATTATATTTTATGTTTCCTCTCATGCATATGTCTCCCTTTACTTCAATCTGCTTTGCTTTATTGCCTTGCTTGCTTTGTTGTACTCTTATTCTTTGATTTTTTTTAACTAGTATTTGGTTTGTTTTCTGGGCCACAGGTTGTGCGAAAGCAGTCTCTCTACCATGTTGGGTAGGGGCTAGGGGCAAGGTATGCATATATCTAACTGTCCTAGACCCACCTTTTGAGAGTTACTAGGTTGTTGTAGTAGTTGACTCAAAGTACAACAACCTAGTACAATCCCACAAATGTAGGGTATGGAGAGGGTGTGTACATAGTCCTTAGCCGTACAATGAAGTAAAGAGGTTGTTTCCAAAAGACCTCGGCTTAGATACATAAGTACGAACTAAGAAACCGCAGAAGCACGAACAAAGTATGAATACAACAAGAACATTACCCCAGTGCCTCAAAGGATCCCGCCCATTGCGGGGTAAGGGGGTCGGATGTACGCAGTCTGACACCTATGTTTAAAACATAGAGTGGCTGTTTTTGAATGACCCATGATGAGCGTCGAAAGTTAATTTGACTAATTGCTACTTCACTATTGAAAAAGAAGCGTGGACAGTTTAAAAAACCATTTTGCTTTATTCCATCAAACGCAAAGCCAAAAAAATATAGACAAAAAAAATCATAGAAGAAAACGACTCTAAAACTGGACATAAAGCACAAATAGCACACAAGTACACACTACAGACTAAGGCATACAAATATTCAGTAGATTGCAAAAAGTCCAGTGTCATTTTTACAATGAAAAAATTTATGTCAGTTTAATACTCAAATTTACACAAAGACTAATATGTGTCCCTCCCAAATCATACACTTCAAGGAATTCTTCAATCTAGTTAACAACTTTATTATCAAATGAAATATAATGATCCGGGTCAAAAAGTTATCCATGCCCAAAGAACTGGGAGGGAATGATACAAAAACCGGATGTAGGAACATAACCGGATCAGGAATTACATACCTTATCTAAAAAAGAATCCAAGCAAGGAATTCGGCGACGAGACATTACAAGCTGAAAGAAACGTATAACAAGTTATAATTTAAAAAAAACTCTATAGTTATCTAAAAACATATGGCACTCATGGCACATCAATAGAGTTACGCTTCTTTTATCTAGGGTCTTCACCTGGTGCTGATGAACAATTCGAATCATGAGCATCAAGCCAATTGCATCGTATGAATTTGGAAGAATTGAGTTGAAGTGCTCATCAATTACAGCAAAAGGACCTAGTGGTAAAATATGTTGAATCATGTATCCAGAGATTGGTCATCAAACAAATAAGTGAATGTAAAATTATAATGAGAAATTGAAATTTATCCAGAGTCACTATAATTGATATCGGCTTTCACAGAGTAAAATACATAGAAAAGAACTACTCTCTGCAGATGATATTTAAGGTGAAAAAATCTTTATATAGTTCTATAGTCATATTATTTCACATTAATCAACATGCATGGCCTTTTGGGAATTTCCTAACTTCAATGCTTATTAATACCTGAAAATATGTCATAAAATACAGACTGCTCTCCAAAGAAATCATCACAAAAAAGGTACCTATGATGAGGAAGCAAAATTTACGTATAAGAGTATCAAGAATATAATCACTCTATACTTGGAAGCCTACTTAAACTCAACAGATAAGAACAAATAGAAACGTAGAGTACTCAGAAGAAGCGGTATCCAGAAGCAGCTTCTGCAAGCTCCTAAAGAGAACTTCATAGGGATACTTTTTTGAACCGGCTTCAGCTATGTGTGGAATCAAAGGAGGCTCCTCAATTTCCTGGATATGATGAAATACCACAAGCATCAGCTAAAGTTTCTTACAAGCCATGATTATAAAGAGAAACAATTCTACTTTGTTGGAAGATCAAAGGGTAATAAGTCAAGTTAGAGCTCAATACAAGAAAGCATGAAATGTGGAGAGACACGTCTAACTGTCAATAGTTAATTGAGAAGGAAAGTTGTTCATCGTAAATGGAGTTGGTTACTGATTTGAACCCAGAGTCTGAAATGGCTTTCAAAGAGCTAAAATTAGCTTTGAGCCATTTTGCTTTAGCCTTGGTACAAATTGAAGGTTAAATATATAACCCCTTCCTCCCAATGAGTCATGCCTGTTTAGTGTACAACTTTGAAATTTTCACAAGATACATACAAGTTACTGTATTTCACTAATTTGTCACTCTTTTTTGGCCATGGACAACCCAGTGAAGTCCCCACAAATGGGGTCTAGGAAGGGGGTGTACGCAAACCTTACCCCTACCAAGAGAAGGTATATAGGTTGTTTCCGAAAGACCACTGGATTTAAATGAAAAGTTTGTTTTGTTTGAATGGATAACTCCTTTTGGGATTGAGAAAACAAACGAAGCAAAAATCATTTTTTTGGAAGGAGGAAGTAATACTCATATTGATATCATTACTTTTTTATTGGATTAGACCGAGGAGTTTGGAGGAGGTATTGACCCGAGGTGACAAGGGAGAAATAGTAGTGGTCCAACCAATGGACCATCTCATCGTCTCCATACTATTAGTTTAGGTATTTGAGAATCACGAGAGAATAGATTCTTTAACTAAATGACTTAGTAAATCATAGAAACAATTAGAATAGCATGATTAAATTCTATAGTTTAGAAATAACAAGCATGGAAAAATTTCACATAGTAGGGTCTAAGTAGAGTGTATATGCAGACCTTACCCCTATCTGGAAAGTAGAAAAGTTGTTTTCAAGAGACCCTTGGCTAAAAAGTATAGGAGCACGAACAAAGTAAAAAAGCATGAACAGAATAAGAAACACAAATAAAACAAGCACACATACAGAAACTCAGACTCAGACACCAAAAGCATACATGCAGAAACTACAACTAAGGCCCAAAGGTACCCTGCCACCCTAACCCTAGACCACTATACGCTGCAATGTAAGGCCATATCCGGAGAAGATCCTAAAGTCGTATGTCGTGTCTAATCAACTTCATCCAACTCTTCTTCAGTCTACCCCTACCCCTCCTTACGCCCCTACCTCCGTAGTCCTCTTCAGTACGTTTCTGAGCTCTCAGTTTAAGTTGTGGTAGCTTATCCTCCACAGAGAAAAATATTCAAGTGAACTCTTCTATACAAAAGGAAAGATGAGTAAGGAGTTCAGTAGAGAAGAAAGTTGGCTGCCACTTTGGAGAGTTTTAATTAAGTAGAGAAAAAATCAGTCAAGTAGAAAATAAAGAATGCAGTCTGGTAAAAAGCAAACATCTAAAGTTACGTGTTTTTTAAGTTAAGTAAAAGCATCCCAAATCATATTCAAAAAGTACAGTAATTCTTATTGAGCTAAACAATGTATTATAAAAAGATAATTTTGCATGTAAAAATGTTCATATTTGTATGATAGTAGAAAAGTCAGCCGCATGCCCCTTAAGAGGGGTATGATCACCAGAGTGAGGTGCAACTTCTTTGTGACCAAAAGAAGCAAAGCCTATGGCAACTTTCTAAAACTTTGCCTCATTACGAGCCTCAAGGCATAAGCCTAAGTAGCTTTTAAAAGCAATGGAAAACCTCATCTTTTAAGCATAAATTTCACGGATCCCCCTACCGAACCAAAACGAGGCTCTCTCAATAGCCACAATCACAGAAAGATCAATTTGAATTCTAACCATAAATTTGAGTCTCCACCGATCATAAAATACTTTTTTGAATCCTTTCATTGTCCTCATCCAACAATACAAGAGCATCCTAAGCTTCGCTGGTAGTTCATAATCTGATTCGAATTCAAAACTCACTTACATAAAATCTTAGATGGTTTTAAGCTTTGCTGGTAGTTCATAATCTGATTAGAACTCAAAACTCACTTACATAAAATCTTAGATGGTTTTCAACTGACAGCAACTACTGTATCTCTAGCACTGTTAAAAGGTATATCATCTACAATTCCTTTCGAATAAAAACTAAAAAACCAACCAAGAAATAGTAAAGAAGTCACATGTTTGGAGGTGAGGAGGACAGGAAATATGACCATCACAGGGAGGTAACTCATGAAATACTTTTTTATTCAACTGCTACATGCATAAAAAAGTTAACCTTTCATCACAAGCATTACTGAGAGCATAGTCATAATGCTATAAGCTGCACTACGTCTTGATAATGAACCGATTCACAAGGGATAAAAAGCCACAACTTGCTAAAGTAATGACTCTCGACAACCATTACCACTATAGAGTGCCTCGATTTACACTGTTCTCTAGTTGACATATCATTCAACTATATCTTACTTGTATACAAAGTTATGATCATGCATTCATTCTCAGATATCCAACTGATGAAGAAACCATATAGAAAATATGAGGTAAATATCAATCAAAATTTCTATAAAACTTCTGAAATATGCAAAACGTAGTTAAAGTCTGATCTATAGTCTATACCAAATTTGCAAAAGGGAAGGCACATAAGCAAAGCTATAAAAGCATCATCATTAGTGCAAGACAAGAAAACAAAAGAAATTAGCAGCTATCTAACAGTTGGAAACCAAACATTTCCTATGTTGTCAGGATAGGAAAGCAAGACCTTGAGAACGTTGATTCTTTCCCCCAAAGCAAATACTGCAGACCGATTCTTTAATGGCTCTCTCCCTCTGGAGAAAAGACCACTGCTTCTTGTCTCAACACCTATTAGATCACTAGATGTTGCTATATCCAGTTGAAGTTTCTCTAGTGCTTGAATATAAGCACGGAACTGCGCACTTAAAACCTGAATGTTAATAAAGGTGCATCGGTGTAAGTGGCATGTCATAGGTACGTGATTGTCTCAAATGCAAATAATGCCAACAATACTTCATCAACAATAAACACAAATATAACGACAAAATATCAAGTTCATGTAGCAATTATCTGAAGATGCACCTTTCTTAAGCCTTTAAACAACAATTGATGTCAAAAAAATGTAAATACATATTTCATGTGTTCATACATAGAAACATACGGAGTATTAATTGCTAAACTGTAGTAATCCCATTTTAAGAAATGAAGATTCAAATTCTCATTAGGTTTAGATTGTTGGGTAAGGCTATGTAATAGTCATAAGAAATTTGTCCATCCATTCTAAAATTGTCTTTCCAGTTGACGTTTCTTGGTCAAAATCTCTAGACTTGGACCATGATATGCATAAAATGTATATTGAATTATGATATAAACTTAATATCATTATATGTATATATTTATACATAGACACACATGCACGCACTATTGACTTATTAAAAAATATACTACAACATCATCCAGTATAAACCCAACTCTGTTGGGGTCTTGGTGGTCAAGATGTATGCAAGAATACCTCTGTAAAAACAGAAAGACTGCTTTGGTTAGACCATAGATGCATTGTTTCATTTACTGCCTAAACGTTTGTCCAAAAGTAAGCAACAAGAGAAGTTCTTGAAACTAAAACTTTCTATTGGGGTCTTGGGGGTCAAAATGTACATAGTTTTACCTCTGTAAAAACAGAAAGACTGCTTTGGTTAGACCCTATATGCATTGCTGCATTTACTGCACGAAACTTCAATAGAAAGTATGAAGCAATCTAGTTTAATTTTCCATTTTGATTCAGCTCGTTATGTGCCCAAAACTATAGCATTGTCAAGAATGACTCTTTTAGCTACATTAACAACGGATGGAAAGTATAAGTTGGGATCTAGGTGGTCAAGGTGTATGAAGTCTTACCCCAAAGCAGAAAGGTTGTTTCTATTAGACCTTAGATGCATTGCTACATTCACTGCCCAAAACATCATAGAATGTAATAAGAAAGGAAAGTTTAATGTGCCATTTTGATTAAGTCCATGCTGTTTTAAAAAATATGACCTTAGATAGAAGCATCTAAAGCGCTAGGACTTGAATAGTTGGGTAAGCTTTGGGACCTGTAGTTTTCTGCACTTGTTATTGCGTGCTTCTTTGCTTTATGTGCTTTCTATTCTCTGTGTTTTTCTTTCATTGTGTGTTATCTTTCCTTTTCCTTTCCATGCTAGGTGCTAATTTTGTTGTGTTTTTTGCTTTCCCTACTCTTGTGAGATTCTACTGGGTTGTTGTTTTATATAATATATCAAATATAGATATTAATGGTCAAAGTGTTGTAATGAAGACCATGAAAAGTAAAAGGGAAAGGAAATTTTAGGATAAAAGGAGGAAAATGTTGCAATTTTTGTTTTTATATCAATAAGACAAGTACTATAATATTATTCTACACGCAGTATAAAAGCCAAACCCTAAAAAATCAACAAAAGTCTATGTAAAACTCCAAACCCTATTCTTGAAACATTGCTGGCACAAAAACCCCACCTCCATCTGCCACCTATCTTCCAACAACTTCCAGTCATGCACGGCATGAGATCAATACCGGCAAAAATTTTGTCAAAAATCTCTAGTTTTGCTCAGGACCTCTAGTCGCTTAAACTCTTCCTCATTCTTTCCAAATAAATTCAGTAAGTGACCAAATTCACCACCACCCGTTTCTATGTCCATCAAGCCGTCCATCTAGAAGTGCTAGTCTTTGTTATGAAAATAGTGTAAAGAGTTAGTCTTTGATAGGTGCAATTATATTACTAAATAAGTGTTGCTTTTAGAGTTGGAGTGATATTCAATTTATTTATTTTATTATATTATTATTACTATTATCATTATTTTGAGGGTGTGGCGGGATGCCTTTGCTTTGAAAATGTACTGTACGTTTGTACGAGAATAGCTTTAAAAAGAAAAAAAAGTGTGTCTCATACTTTTCTGATTATTACAATTTAATTTCTCTCATTAAAACTCTCTGTTTATTACCAAGAGAAAAAGGGTGCTTGAATATAAGCATGGAACTGTGCACCCACTTTTCTTATTAATGATTGTCTCTCACACTTAAAAATGGGTGCTTGAATATAAGCATGAAAGTGCGCACTTAACAACTATTTGATATCACGTGCATTATTTCTCCGACTTTTATTGAATGTGGGGGTCAAGATGTACGCAATATTTACCTCTACAAAAAAACAGGGAGGCTATTTGTGTTAGACCCTTGATAGTTGATACATTGATCCGTTTACTACCCAAAACTTTAGAGAAAGTAAAAAAGGAAGGTAAGTTTAATGTGCTATTGTGATTTAGTCCAGTATTTACCGAAACTAAATCATCATCAAAAATAACTCTTTTAGCTCTATTGGCAATGCCCACATAGTTTTGGAAGTTTTATGGTTTTTTATTCCCAGTTTCCCACTAGAATTGGGTTATAGGTTTCCCATTCATATTGGGTTTATGTCCATTATTTCACTATACAAGCATGGCAGTAATCCTAAAATTAGAAAATTGAAGGTTGTGTTTTTTTAAATAATAAAAGTGATAATAATCAACAATATAAGCTGATAATGGTCAAATGAAATTTTAATATACATCTCAAAAAATTAACCTTGTTCATTGTGTCAATATAAGCTGCTCGAACCTCAAGATACACCTCCTTTCCATGCTCCTTGAGGAAGGATATAATACACCTGTGTGATTGATTATGTGATATTCATCAACTAAAAGTCAATAAAACCTGAGAATGAGAAAGATCATGAAAAAACAAATAGTAAAACATCAGTGGAATTAACATTCTTAAGACGTGTCTAAAAATGTGAATACTGGTGACTTTATAAGATGCTATTTGCTACCATATGAAACAGAGTAGGTACATATACAATAACCTTTTTATGGAGGTGTTGTAGGTTCACTGAAGGTTGTTTTTTGGACACATGTAATGTAGTTTGGAAAAATGTTCGAAATGGCGTATTGTGGTTTTGAGGCTTTTTTCATGGCGTATTGCGTAAGCCTCATTTTGAAGTACCAAGATGTGCATAAAATATTATTAAATTAAAGATAAAACATTTTTAAAAACACAATTAGGCCATGTTCTCCTCAACTTATTTTTTACTTATTACTTATTCTTATTGAAATCAGATTAGATCACACCAGATCATATCAGAAATAGCTTTAAATATAACTACATTCAGATCAAATCAGACCAGATCAAATCAAAACTTATTTCAATCAGATCAAGTGAAGAGAACATGACCTTAATCCATAAACATTCAAAAAGTATATTGTGAAAGTAAAAGGGCTTAGATGCAACAAAGTTTAGCATGGAATAACACTCCCTCCGTCCAACAATTAAGTTTTCATTCACTATTCACAGGGTCAAATTTTATTCACTTTGTTGGCCTATTTCCGTGTCCTATTTGATCAAATAATAAAGTCAAGTCAACTCTAGTTTTGTAGATCTTTTCATGCAATTTTTAAATATGTCATTTTTATTTTTTAATTCCAAACCATTTTTCATTTAACATGATTTGAAAATAATTTCAGTCAAACATTGTAACGCGGAACACAAACTTTATTTATGGACGGAGGGAGTATAAAATATTGGTGGAAGGTCATAAACTTAATGACAAGAAATCTAAAAAAAATACTAAAATTTTATGTATATAAAATATCCAACTTTTAAGAAAATAAATTAACAAAAAACCCCATAAGGAAGTTGTTGAATCAAAAACAGTCCATGCGCACATATAGTACCAATTGGAAACAAAGAGTGATTAATACGCAAAAAAAAAAAAACATGAAAGAAAGAAGTCCATACGCACAACGCACAAACAATACCAATAGGAAGGGAAGGTTGTGATTAATAAGGAAAAAAGAAAAAAAAAGAGATACCGAGAAAGAAAGTGCACAACAATAGAAGTCGAGCAGGGTCGGAAGAGTGGGAAAGAAGTCAGAGTCGAATGAATTTACTAAATTGACTTCGATAAAATGGCGTACGCAACCCTAACGCCATGAGGCGACGCAATGTTCCGCAATCCCCGAGTAAAGCGCATTGCACATGGCGAGATAACCTTAGGGTGTACATCTCCGCTAATTAGCTCTAAGGCGCGCAATGAGGCGCGTTTACGCCTCGCCATTTCAAACAATGTTTGGAAACGCATTAGTAAAAAGGATCATTACAGTTAGGCTTTAATGGATTCTTATTGCAATAGAAGAAAATGGCTAATGTATTAGAAAGCAACATATTGTTCATTGCCAATGGATCTAAAAGTCCTTTGTAAAAACGTTTTTGTTTCTAGAAAATAATGGACTCAAGAAAAATGATGCATGAAACTTTCCTTGCTTCATACTTTCTATAATGTTTTGGGTAGCGAATGAAGCAATGCGTCAAGGGTAAACACTCTCTCTGTTGCTTACGGGGTAAAGGTCGCGTACATCTTGACAACTCAAAATGGCACATTAGGAAGCAACATATTATTCTTCGTCAATGGATCTAAAAGTCATTTCTGACAGTGCTTTAGCTCCTTGTAAACAATGAACCAAATAAAAATGGCACATTCAACTGCGTATGTTTTTTACTTTCTATGAAGTTTTGGGCAGTGAATGCAGCAATGCATAAAGGGTCTACTGGAAACAAACTTTGTTGTGTACAGGGGTAAAGTTCCGGACATCTAGACCCCTTGGATCCCAACCGAGTTGAGATTATCCCAGATTGCATGTTCTTGTATTAGGAAGTAACATACCACAAACTGGAGCATGCATAGTGCAAAAAGAGGGGACTAACTGTTATTAATACATGAAAGAAACAACTCACTTGTATTTCAAAAGAACACTCTGTTGAAGGATCTGTATATTTGTTTTTGGTTTCCTCAGTGCATATAGCTTTTGAACCATGAAGTCAAACACCTTGGAAGGACAAAGATATAAAAATATTAGTTTAAAAATGTGTGTGGGTATAGTGCCAACAATGTTTTTGTCAGGTGAATCAAAAAATCATATGAAGTTCCTCATAATTAAATTTACATACTCCCTTCGTCCCACCCTCTTTGTCCACATTCTTTTTGCACAAATACCAAGGAAGTGGGGCAGGGCAGTGAAAAAAGACAGAAATACCCTCCATTTCTTTTAATCCCATCCGCCAGCTGACAAATCACGAATTCTCCTTCTTTCTTTCTCCCCACCAATCATCGTCTTCATCAGCCAATTGCTCCCCCTCCAACCCCGCCGTCGACTTAACTCCGGCCGATGAAATATTCTTCCATGGTCAATAGCTCCCCCTCCAACACCGCCACAACCGCTGTTTGTCCCACATACCCTCTGAAACTTCCATCCATCTCCTTGCACCAACAATCGCAGAAGGGAAGAAAAACAGAAACACAAATCCTTCACTTCCATGATTTGGCCGTCGAAATGGATAAAAGGGTCGAAGGTCAAAGAGAAGGAGAAACAGGGAACATAGTTGGAATAGGAAGAGGATGAGAAATATGTGGAGTAAATTAAGCAACTGGAGGAAGATAAATACGGAGTAGATCTATAAACGAGAAAGAATAGATCTAAACAGGGTAGTGAGTGGGTGATAAATGAGGAAGTGTGGTGTGGCTTAAAATAAAAAGGAGAGACAAAAATGACTTGAAAATTTAGGATTTACCAAAAAGAGTAAGTGGACAAATACAGTGGGACACCCAAAAAAGGAAAAGTTGACAAATACAGTGGGACGGAGGGAGTATTTAACTTGCAAGTGTCGATTCATTTCTTGTAAACTAGCCATGTTTCGCAAAGAGTGCCCTGCTTAATGTATTGAGCATTTTTACAAGGAAAATGCAAAATCTGTACTTGATTTACACTAATCTTGGATTTACACAAGAAACTGGTTATTAGAAATAATCAAGTATTTTGATTCCACATAATCACTTTAACTCTTAAATAACTGGTTTAGCTTATTCTGAGCATCCGAAATTGCCAAAAGAAGAATGAAAACCAAATTAGGCCTACATAATTCAAAGATTCTTACTCTTAAAACATTTTGAGCATAATGGCAAGGTGAAGCATTAATCTTCCAATTCAGTCCTTTCAATAAGATTACTGAACAAAAGATGCAAAGACACAAGCACGCGTCTACAAATTATATTACAAATATAACTGAACAGAAAATCTATTATTTCCCGTTCTGGTTTAGAGCATTATATAGGAATTTGGCACACAAATTATGGACATGTTAGGAAGAGCCTGTTTGAGAGCGTATAGTTTATTTTAAGCTGTAATCAAATAATAAACACTCTGTACGTGCTTAAAATTATACTACCTGAGTCTCAAAATAGAGTCATCACCAATGTACAACAGTCATAAATAAAAAATCTCACATGTTTGTAATAAATTTCTCCTATGTAATGTTTTTGCGACTCATTTTGTAATTTGTTGACAAACTACATGAAAATAACTTCATTGATAGATTTTGGGCTTTTTTACCAATACAAAGTACTCCATATTAAAAAATATAAGTCTATTTATGGTGTAGGAAGTAGATTATAGCTCAAAAGTTTAATATAATTTGTCACAAAATTACAAAATGAGTAGACTTCGTGACGAGGAAGATTGCTGTAGTGTATCTAGGAGACTCTCCTAGATGGCTAGGCACCACAAAGCGAGATGCAAATGAGTTCAAGTTGTGATACTCTGGCCCAATCAATCAAAAAATACAAACCAAATGACCTCTTAATTATGTCCCTTGGGGGGTCTTAGTAGTGAATTTTTAGTTGTGTCTTGTGTAGATGGGCATTCAGATTATTGTTGCTACTACATAATGACATAATACTACATAAAACAAACACACCTCAAAGCACGTAAACATGAAAATACCTTTGATACTGCCTTCTGTCTTAGCTTCTCAAGTTCAGGTTGAACATCATTTAAGGCTTGTGATGTTTTAACCATTGGGTCTACTTCGACAAACTTCAGCTTTTTACTTAGAATCTCCAATGTTCTCATATATTCATCATTAACCTAAAGATGAAGCAATCTTATTTCCTGCACAATGTGTGAATAGCAAAAACATACTAGAAAAACAGTAATGTCGAAATAAAAAAGTGATTAATCTAGTAGTGTAACATTTTGCAACCATAGATCTCTTCTTCAATATAGCACTAGATTATTCTTTAAAAGGTTAATTTAGACTTTACTGTGTCAGTGGTGTCACCAAGGGAAGCACTCATTGCATACTCTTAACTATCTTGTGACAAAGCATTGAGCTAAATAACAAATCATAAAATCAACACAACTACTTGACCGATAGGCACATTTTAGCACTACATTGCTGACAAAATCCATCTCAACCAGTCATAACAGGCTTACTAACACAAAAATAGTACACACATTAACTTCACAAACATTAAAATAAGTTTAAGTAAAGAATAACATATTTGCAAGCACATCTCCATTGACTTTTAAAACATCTCCATCTAAAACATCCCCATCAAATTTTAAGCAGGTAACATCAATTCAATTCATTGTAAATTATGTGTTACATGCATAACTCCATCTAAATTATATAGGCTGCTGAACTCAGGAGACGGCTGGTGGTTGCAGATTTGCGCTTAAGGTATGAATGGTGTCAATAACAGAGGTAGTTTGGCCCACAATGGTAGAGGTTGTTTGGCTAACAACGACGGGAGACGTGGTCAACAATGAAGTCAGAGATTTGCATTAACAAATGCTTTGCTGGTGGTGGTTCGATCAGCAACAAGCATCAGAGGTTGGAATCTTAATGGTGGCAGAGACAGAGGTGGGGACCTATCAATGGTGGTGGCTATGGAAGTCTGATAACTCTGCTTGGCAAAGACAAAGATAAACCAGCCATAAAAGTGGAGGTTTTGCAGTCAACAGTGGTAGGGTAGACTTAGGAAACCACAGAGGTGGTTAAGGCAAGTGTGGGCCAAACAAACCAAACTGAAAAAATGACCAAAATGAAAATAGGGTTATCGGTACGGTACAAGTTCTCAAAGTATATGCCGGATAAGAGTAGATTTTGGTTAACCAAAAACCTGTAATCGAAAATATACTACAAAAATAAGAGATACTCGGTATTAATGTATATACAAGGTTGATAGATTCACGTAATGAAGTATATCATTCCCTCCGTAGTGTAAAGTTTTTCTTGTCTTTCTATTTAGTTTGTCACAAAATTTTGTTCTCGTTTCCTTTTTAAGAAAAGAATGTGGTTTATATTGTTTCTCTTTTTTCTTAAAAAACTTAAATACATAATGTTTACTTTATTAAAAACTGAGCAAAGTCAAAGCGAAAACAATTGTTCCATTCTCTAATCTCAAACTTGGTGCTCTTGTAGTTCTTTTTTATGCCTAAATTAGCTATTGTTTGTTTCATAAAATCATTCTAAAACAATCTGTCGCAATGTTTTAGTGAACAGATTAACGGTATCTAACTTTTAGGGTACTATACCCAATTGACCAAGTCAATGGCACGATGAATAGCAACAAAAATCTAGTTACTGAAAAATCAATAAAAAAAACCAATACCAAGCTGCTTTGAAAACTGGTATGAATGCGAAAAAATGTAAACCAAATGACATGTACAGGTTTGGGATTCATGAAACCCATAGATACTGATTCCAGTTCAACCAAATAAAGCCTAGCGAAAAACTGAAGACAATTAGCAAGTATCCAAGTATTGCTAGTTTGCTACTGAATTGCAAACGAATGGAAAAGGAGTATCGATACAAAAACAAAGGAGATGAAAGACACAGATAAGAAGTGCCAAATCTAGATATAATATTCACAAAATCTGGCATATCAAAGTTAGAGGATGATACAGTGGAGATCTGAATACTAACTGAACTCAGCAAGGCTGTTACAACATCAAGACGAGGCAAAGCACTTGCTGACCATCTTATCGCCTAAACGATTACGCGACCAGCCAATAACTCACCAACATGATATTTAAATTCAAATCATAATAATTACAATGTAATGTATTACTCTGTCCCTTTTCTGTTTCCTACTCATGATACAAGACAATGGAAGATTTTTTCAACTCGCATTTGTAAAATTTAAATTAGTATTAGCAAACAAACTAACATTTTTGAAAACTACTCCTTTTGTCCCAAATAAATTTTCTCATGCAAAAATGGCACGGAGATTATGAATGGAAAGAAAATTATATAAATGATCATGCCTACTTTTTTGGGTTTTTAAGATTGAAGTAAAAAGTATTATAAAAGTAGGTTGTTGAATGTAAAAGTGTACTTTTAGTTTATTTCTTTTTTAAAAGTAAAAGGTGCCTGGCAAAAACAGAAACCAGAAGTTGCTTTTGGGACGACCAAAAAAGGAAAGTGGAAAATTTATTCAAGGATGGAGATTGGAGGGAGTATCTTAAAAGCTCTATAAAATATGCAGTGACATGAATCAATTATGAATATATTAAAAAAACAGACTAAAAGAGAATTCAGTTTGGCAGTGAACAGTAGCTACAACAAATTAAATGATATAGAGGGAATATAATTTATAGTAAAATATTTAACTGCATATCAATTACAAACTTATGAAATTATTTCCAACCAATAGTTCAATACCAGATTGCAACAAATTAAACCACAAAGTAAAAATTATTCAAGGTTAGGCACTTTGGAAGAAAGGAGATTTACATATATTACACAGGTACACTACAGGCTGTACACAAATGGAAATAGGACAGTAGTACATGCTGTAATCTTTAACTCTACAAAACAAAACAATACTCCGGGAAAGAAGAAAGTGAAGCAATAAGAAAACAAATGGAAGAAAGAAGAAAAGGGAAAATGAAAAGAGGAAGAAGAAAAGGCAAACATAGTGAAGCAAGTTGCAGCGGCAAGCATCAGAGATTAGCGAAGGCAGCGGAAAAGAGTACCAATTTGCAGTGAAAGGATCGTTCCTTTTTAGGTTTTCTCTCCCGGGTCATTCTAAATTCTGATACTGTGATTGCTTTGGGTGAATTTTTTGGGAAAGTGGGTCGTGCTTGACAGGTTAAAATTGCTTTGGTGAATTTTTTGGGAATGGACATTGCGAGAGCGCATAATCATTTTTTAACACCTAAGCGACGCCAAATGAACTCCAGGATGGGGAATGTGCTCCACCACCCAGGCGCCAAAATGGAGCCTAGTTGTAGCCTTGGCAAAGCTGAGAAAACCCTGGAGCTCGTATGTAGAAGCAGAAGACTACTATTTAGAAGCATGTCTGTATAGTGTATAAAACTACTAAAAAAATATAGGAAATTAGCAGAACTACAAAAAAAATAAACGGTTCAATGAAGATTACTGGCCAAAACTGCCGAATGTGAATGTCAAACAAAGCAAGTTCGATAGACAAGGATTTCATAAAACTGAGCAAGACAGAACTGTCAATAATAAAAATTCAAGGAAATAAAACAAAATGCTCCCCTGATGAACAATAACATTTGACAGTTAAGTTAACTTAGTGCAACATGCAATCTAGTGTGTACGCCATAATTTCTTCTTATATTATCAAGAAAGTCTCAATTATTCAGTTAAATGTGACTGCAGTCTGCAGATGCAGTATTCCATCTAGCTGCACACCCAGATGCAATAATGCATTCACTTATATAACCTGATGAAAGCACAATAATGCATTCATATAAAGATTTTTTCTTAAGACTTAAATACCTCTCCATCAGCAACAATGTCTATCATCCTTGGTGGAACAATAATATCTTCAACAAATTTTGACAGTTTTGCCTCTGCCACCTGCAAGATGAAAATCACCCAACTTTTCCTAAAGCATGAGAAGCAACCAGAGCAAGACAGGAAAAAAAGAAGATAAAACAACCTATGAAGATATGAAGTTTAAAAAAAATCAAAGCTAAATATTAAAGAAAAAGGAACCAAGCCAAAACAAACCAGCCATACACTGATACACATTATATCTCACACAAATATAAGGTCTAGGGAGATGAGATGTATGTAGACCTTACCTCTATCCTTCGGAATATAGAGGTTGTTTCGACTTTTGATGAAAACCTCCAGCAAGAAATGGGATACAGTGCAATATAAAGAAAAAAAAGCAACACAAAAAGTACTAGACAATATGGAAGTAAGACAACAAACAAGAAAGCATGAAAGCAAAGATTCAGCTAGCAAAGACACACAAACCGTACAGGGAATCTAGACGGAAACCCTAGTATGACATCTCTAAAGAATCCCATCAGATGCCATATTCTAGGAGTGGTTCAAGGTCATCATATCCAACTACAATTGCTCATCCAACATCTATAGTGGTATGCCTCATTTCTTCAACCACAATGCACTCTACCCTCCTCGCCAATTGCGCTGAATCTCTCTGAAGAAAGTGGCCTAACAATTGCAATCTTCTCTCTCTTAGTTTAATAATTAATATTGAATTTCAAGACCTGATCCTAACACCATCTTCAGTATTTTGTCCGATACAATTGACCAAACCATATGTCAACCTCAACATCCTCACTCATCTCCAAAACTTCCCATTTCTGCTCATGCTTCTTCCTCACCTGTGGAGTTTCCCCTTCAGTTTTAACATGATGTTCTTGTCAAAAAACCATCATGCAGCAATTCTCCATTTAAACCACCCCACTTTTATATTATGCGTGATGCTGTACTTGTTCTCGTCCTCCTTCTACATGATATAACCAAAATACTTGAAAATAACCTGTATGTGGTACTCTGCTGCAAAATGCAGAAATCTGCTTCTCATTGCTCCTCCCACTAAAGTTACACCAGAGGTATTTAATCTTAGAGCAGCTATTATTCATTCCTTTAAGAAAAGCATGAAAGAGAGAAATAAAAATGGCCACATATTCCTCGCCAGAAAAGGAAATGGACTTTTATTTTGGGACAAACCAATGTGTTGTTTATTTTGGTACAGAAAGAGTATTGAGTCAGAATTAAACAAAAATGGAAAGGAACATATATAAGATTGGAGAAAAGGTTAAAAAAAATTGAATGAGTTTCTTTGTCCACTCAAAGCATTCGCTAGTTATTTGCAATGTCCACTATTTACGCCTTTCAGGTTTTGTCTTGAGACACAATAACAATTTATTGACACAGTTAATGAATTAGTCGATACAGAGAGGAGTAACCTCCAACCACATATATAAAATCAAATATAGAAGAGAATAAAACCAATTATAACGGATTGATATATTACCAGCATGAATTCCAATGTCACAAGTACAAGGTACTCTATCATAGTTAAAGGGAAGGAAAGCAAACTTTTAGTGTAGATTCTTATGGAATGCAGAGCCATTACTGGTCAAAACTTATGTACTAATAATATTCAACTACAAAAGCATTACCTTCCGATTCTTCAGCCTCAGTCCCATATCCATAGACTTCTCTTGAAGGATTTTTATGTCTGAGCTGATAGAGCCTATTTCTGTCTGTAATGAAAATAATCTGGATAACTATTTTGAATTTTTTATAGTTTGAATTTCAAACTAAGAATTTGTTTCATGTATTCTCTTATAATATGGTGTGTGAAGATGAATAATTCAGGGCAGGCATACACAAATTGATAATTTGACATTAGGACCATCTTCTACGAATGTAAGATGAGGAAATGGCAGCCACACAGTTCCTCAACACCAAAGTATGGTACTTCGAACACTTAACCCCTAACCTTCACAATGTTAGAATCTACACCAGTGGCGGATTTACATTGAAGGAATGGGGGGCATATGCCCCCAATTAACTTTTAGTGTTAAACAAAAAAAAAAATCTGTATATTTGGGCCACTGCCCCCATCTAGAAGTTGGAATGACCCCAATAGCCCAAATCCCAATAACCAGCCCATACTTTTATACTTAAGTTTAATTTTTTTTAATTTTAACCAATCAACCTTTTCACAATTAAAAACATAAAGAGAAGGTGAACATATCTACCTAATCTACGGAAGTGGGCAAGTGGCGGTTGTGGCGAAGTGCTGAACCAGAGAATCGGCTATTTGGGCATTTGGCTACCGGCGCTGGAGAACAAAAGCAACGAACGGTCGGTTAATCGGATTCCTCGCAAGTCGCAATTTACGTTCTTAATAATCATACCATCACCTTCATCGGAATCCTCGCAATTTACACAAGTCGATCGGTGAGTCCACAGTCCTATTATCAATTTATTAGTATTTTATTTCTTAATTACTGTTATTTCCTAAATTATATTTTAAATTAATAGCAAAGTATGTTTTATCACATACATATTTTAATTAATTGTTTATATTAGGATATTAGGTTCATGTGTTAATTGTTTAAGCTTAGGGTTAATTTATTTGATAATATATATTATTGATGTTTTAATTAATTGAGGTAAATAGATTTTGAATAATTGAATCCATGGAGAGCTATTAGTTTGAATTGTGATTTACTCCATCCATCAATTTTGAATTTTGAATTTTTGACATATACATTATGGAGAGATTTTTCAAAAGGAAATTTTCATCTTTACAAGAAAATAAAAGTGATAGTGGACCTTCAAATGGAAGTATGCCTTTCCCTGTGTGTGAGTGTCAAGTAAAACAAAAAAGAATCGATTTGAATGATTTGTCCTTTGATCCCGCTGAAAGGTTAAAGATTAGTGACTATAATCCTAATCAAAGAGATGAAATAAGGCATGCATATTGGTTGAAAGGACCTTGTCAACCTCTAGACCATAACTTCACTTCAAAACAAATTAGGGAAAGTTCAAGGAGATTCAATCCAGATTGGTTCAAAAAATATCAAAAATGGTTAGAGTATAGCATTAAAGAGGATAAAGCATATTGTTTGTGTTGTTATTTATGTAGAGATTATCATGAAAATAAATGTGGAAGTGATGCATTTGTAACACATGGTTTTTCATCATGGAACAAAAGTGAGAGATTGGCATCTCATGTTGGTAAGGTCAATAGTTATCATAATGAAGCACTTAGAAGATGTGAGAATTTGATGAAACAAAGTCAATCAATTGAAGTTGCACTTCACACACAAACAGAGAATGTGAAAAATGAATATCGAATCCGTTTGAATGCTTCAATTATGGCTTGTAGATTCTTGTTCCGATTAAAACTACCATTTCGTGGTCATGATGAAAATGAAGAATCAAGTAACCGGGGAAATTTTCTAGAATTATTAGCATATACCGGTGAACAAAATGAGACTGTGGGTAAGGTTATACTCCAAAATGCTCCAAGGAACCATCAAATGATTTCTCCAAGTATTCAAAAAGATATTATTGTTTACTGCTTTGCTAAAGAGATCATGAATGAAATCCTAAAGGACATTGATGGGGATTTTTTTAGTCTCTTAATTGATGAATCTAGTGACATATCAAATAAAGAGCAAATGGCTACGATGTTGCGATATGTAGATAAAAAGGGTCTAGTCCAAGAACGGTTTATTGGGATTGTTCATGTGAAAGAAACTTGTGCTATAGCTCTTAAAGATGCACTTGATAATTTATTTGATGTGTTATGACGGATGTAAGAAAGATAACAAACAATAAAGAAACGAAAGAACAAACACACACAGATTTAACGTGGTTCACCAACAATATGTTGGCTACGTCCACCTAACAGAAGAGAGGAGAGCTTTTACTGATTGAGGAGAGAGATTACAGAGGGATTTTCTAGGTGACTGATCTATGTCTGAATGCCTTACAAATGAACCTATTTATTGGAAAGATGGCAGCCAACTTGGCTG